GGTGAGATGATGGAGGGCTGGGGTATCAGGACAGTGGGTGAGATGATGGAGAGGAAACTCTACTCAAACACACTTCTTTCAAAAATATCATAATAATATCTAATATCATGAATGCTAATTTTTAAACATTTTAAATGAGTAAATAAAAACCCTTAGTTCTCCGCCTTCTCTTCCCATTTGTGAGCTACGGCACATAGACCAATAGATGTCATCTTAGTTCATTGGTCAGAATTGGTTCTACGGCCTGCAAGGGGGAGCACTCGCTGGTGAGTTTGGTCATGATCAACAAAAGATGGAGGCAGAACCAGAAGGCAGGATTTTCTAAACCCTGCCTGGCTACATTGGCACAAGCAAGTTACAGGAAGCTTATTTCTCACCACCTGTGTGGACATGGCAATTTATAAACAGAGGGAGAACGCACATGCTTTTCTATGTACAGAAATCAGGTCTGTTTTCCTGTTGGTTTCCTTGGTAAGATAATTTCCCAACAACAGACTCAGGACAGGGGGGAAGTGACTGTGGTTGCCATAAGGAAGTAAGAGCTTTTGAACCACATGAGGAATGGCTACAAGAGGGACTCCAAGTCCATGGGAAGCCCTGCTTGGCTGTGGCAACAGCTGGGAGTCTCTGCATGGGATCCTGGCATCCCTTAGGATGGCCCCTGCCTAGTCTGATGCCTGTCTGCTCCCCCTAACACCCAGGTGTGAGAATTGCTGCTTATACTTGAATGCCCATGAGGCGCAGATGGAGGGTTGAGCTAATATACCTAAACTATATGAGAAGTCACGGGTATCTTTTGAGAAAGCACCTGGGGTATACTTGTAAACATGTGGTATCGGGACATTGAGACGATGATGACTGTAACAATACCTAATTTTATTGATCATTTGCTGTGCCCCCCCCCAGCACCATACAAAGTGCCCCATATGGATTATCTCATTAAACCCCACAGGTACAGAATAACTAATGCCTGGATAGCTGACTGGTCCATGCACACATAGCTAGGCAGCATTTAAACCCCGCGCCTGTGCCAGAGCTTATTTCAGGTAAGGTTTGTTAGGATCCCAAGAAAGAGAATTGGATGTTTAAAAACAAAACAAAACTCTTAAAATGACTTCGAATTAATTAAAGCCAAGAAATAATTCAAATATCCTATGTCTTCTCAACAAGTGTGTGTCGATGTTATCATCACGTTCCGACCCTTGTTATGAGGGACTAGTTTTAGCAATGTGGTTTCTGGGAATCTACCAATCTACCCAGGGCTGCCGGATGGCTCGCCCAACCCTTACTCCATCTCACCACTAGATGGCGACGTGGCATCAGTGAGGCACAGGACCCAGAGGCGCTAAAGAGCAGCCTGACCAAAGACGTGTTTAATTTCAGAGCTAAAGGAGACTTCACCTCATCTCTCCCCAGCACTTCGCTTTCAAGTTGGGAAGGTGAAGAAACGCTGAGTTAAGTGACTAGTCCACGTATGAGAATATGTTGGTTAGCTCATGGGTGATAAAAATACAGCTGTGTAGCTGCTAACTATCCTGACTCAAGGCCCTTCATCCGGTGTCTCTGATCCCCACTAGATGCCCGAGATGTGCGTCAGTTCCTCTCTCTGGGCTATACAAAGGAGAAGTCAGGAAGCTCACTGCAGGTTCCACAACCAGTAAGGGACAGAGGAGCCCGGCTTCAGCCTGCCTACAAGACCTCAAACTTCCAGGATTCTCTGCCTCAACCTATCCTCCAACCCTCATGAGTGTGTGGTGTCTCTCTTTGTCTGTCTGTCTGTCTGTCTATCTCTCTGTCTCTCTGTCTCTGTGTGTGTGTGTGTGTGTGTGTGTATGTGTAGCATCATTATCCATTAAAAGAATTGTTTTGAAATCCAAAATGCGTTTCATTCTATAGTTATAATTCATTAATCAATTCAAATTTCATATCAAACATTTTTAAAGAGAAGGCCTGCTCTTTCCCCTCTGCTGAAACAACCTGAATGACGGTGCCTCAGCAGATGCCCCGTTACTCTCTGCTCACAAACACGCCCTTAAGACCCCCACAATGCCTTCTGCCTGGATCCCATGATTATAGGGCTTCCTTTTCCTTCCTCCTAGCAACAGCTACTTGATCAATTATGTTTAAAATTGCAGCTTTTCCGTAGCTCTCCACCATAGCCAGATCACAAGGCCCTATGGCTGATGACACAACAACTTTGGATGGGGGACAGAAACATTAAGCTGGAACTGGCCTGGACACTTCCTCCCTGCTGGCTAACTTTCATAGCATCAGCAGGTGCAGGCTACCGAGGAAGAACAATTACCAACGGTCTCACCCAGCTGTGGCCTCTGCAGGTTACAGTCCCAACCTGCCAGGCAAGATGACTCCACTGTGTGTTCAATAGTGCCTGACTCACTCTATGTGGGCAGCCAACAGCCTTCTGTTGGAATTTCAGGGCTGTTCCATGGGAGAGAATTCACGCATGGTACTGTAAACAGGGTCAAAAGCCCATGACTGGGGAGGTCATTGGCCTGGGGCTGGGACAGTCTGCTGTCATTTTGGTAACTGGTCACCTGGCCAAACTGCCTGCCTTCTAAACATTTGTTCAAACCCATTATCTAGTTCTGCTCTCAACCGTGGTCAGAGAAGCTGTGGACAGCAGTCAATACAAGATTCATAGATTGGTTAGAAGGCTGGGTGTCAGCTGAGTGCTCAGCCCTAAATGGGACATCTATCTCTGTCTCTGTCTCTCTCTCTCTCTCTCTCTCTCTCTCTCTCTCTCTCACACACACACACACACACACACACACACACACACACACCTAAAAATAAAATAAATCTGCTTTAAAAAAATAAAATAACAGGGTTATTGCTCCACATACTAGAAGTTTAGCATTTGATACACTGTTTAATTTTGAAAATTATGAATAAATATCCCTTAAAGAATATTGGCAAAGGAAAAGAACTGTACATGGAAATAGAAGAAGTAATGAAATTGAACTAAAATAATAATGTTTAGGCAATAAAGGAGAAAACAACCTACCATTTTCAATTTTGCTTTTCGGATGCGGTCCACTAAACGCTAAAAATTTCCCTGGGACAATCCAGTTGAAGTCCCCATTTTCAACCCGCTGGCAGAATTTTGTGGAAAAAGAAAAGAAAAAGTTTATGATTTTTATGCAATTTAGGGAGTCTTTACAAATAAAACACTTATCACGCTATCGGTACTAGATCAATGGGACTCACACGAAGAAAAACTAATAGAAGTTTCGAGATGCACCTGACTTACAAAATGCTATTTGTAAATTCACTTCATTTAAGAAAAGTTTCTACCCAAATGATGAAAAATTTAGCTTGTCTGAAAAAGTTATTCGGCTTAAAATAAACTTATCTGCTGGTCAGTCTGCTCTGAAGTAAGATGAAAATATTGTTTGTTCTAGAAAAAAATAGGCTGAGGTAAGGGAAAATGGAAAATGCAAGCACTTTCATGAACATGGTAAACAGGCTTTAAATAATGAAAAAAAAAATGGTTCACAATAAACACGTTCCCTTTTTTTCCTGGTTGTTTTTGTTGTTGTTGAGGGGAGCACTGATGTCTACTTTCCATGCTGACTTAAAGACTGTCAAGAATGGGGAATGAGGTACAGTGTACCTTAGAGCCATGGTTCTCAACCTTCCTAATGCTTAGACCCACATTGTGGTGATAGTTCCTCATAGTATGGTGACCCCCCCCAACCATAAAATGATTTTCGTTGCTACTTCATAACTGCAATTTTGCAACCGTTATGAATTATAATGTAAATATCTGTGTTTTCCGATGGTCTTAAGTGACCCCTGTGAAAGGGTCATTCATTCCCCCCAACAAAAGGTCACAACACATTGAGAACCACTTGAGGTACACCAAAAACCTTTTGGCCAAAGTCTCCTGCAAGGGGCACCAAACCCAAACAAAGGCTGGCAATAAGACCACTGTTTCTAGCTCTGGCTAACTGGTCACCCTGGGAAGCTGCCTTTCTTGGTCTAATATTCCAACTAGATTTTCCAATGAAATCTTTCTTTGAAATGTTGGCTATCTTTTGATAAGTTTTTAAATCCTATGAAACCAAATGGAATGTCTTTGCCGGCTGGCTGATAATTGTTAGCCTTTGGTCCGCATACTCAAAGTGATCATTAGAAAAGGCCTATGGACCAAGAAAATGGGTCACTTTGCCTGGTTCCGGTACCTCCTTCCTTTCCTTGGGCTATTAACCCATCAGGACTGGAACAAGGATTGGGTCACACCCAAGGCTTTGCAGGTGACTGGGAGACCTCTGTGTAATGCAATACAAATATTCACACCGCCACACACCCAACTCCAACCCAGACCCCAGTCTCCATCTTCATCAGGGAAGCAACGTGATTCCGTGTAAAGAACTCTTCCTTTGGCATTTGGTGAGAGCCTCCATGATAGGCATCTGAGCCAAAGAGCTTGTGCTCTTCAGGAGTACAAAATAAACCTGTGTTAAATGCATCAGCACGGCAAGGAGATGGGAGTCACTACTTCATTTGTGTTGTCCATGACCACTTCCATGGAAACCAAAACTAGGCTGGCCAATTTCTATTCTAAAATGCAATTTCTACTACAAAGATCTTTCCAGTCATAAAAGATGTAAAAGAAACTTCACATAGCATCTTGAAAATGTATCCACTGTAGTAACCTAATCGTAATAAACATACTCTCTTCATAGGACCCTAAAATCTTGTAGACTTATAAGCACATGTGTAGCTATCTCTTTATAACCATTTGAATAAAGAATCAAATGTACAACTTTCCACTAAGAAGTTAAACAAAAGAGTCTAAATGAATGAGTCAGTATGCCCCTTGAGTGAGGGGTAAGCTTGATACACTGTACAAATTTAAGAATAAGTATAAACTTCAATCATCAAAAGACAAAAGCAATTCCTTATGAACAGTAGTAGACAGTGGCTCTCTGTGTTCACCATTTCTGTATTCTTGGCCACTAAGGAGGTCAGATGAATATATTGTATTACATTTGTTCATTTTGATTATAGACATCTGTTTGGTTAAATAGTAACCCTTTTATAATCAGTCATATGCTAGAGCAGTGAACTAAAGTCCCTGTAATATATCAGCAAGATAAATTCACTCACAGTATCAACAGAATTGTGTTTGTGAACCCTCCTACCTAAAATGATAAACATTAGGTAATATCGGGCTCTATTCAGCAGCCTGGGAAAGGTTTGTAGAATAAACAATAAGATTTAGGTCTTAAATTTAAGTTTGAAAGAAAAATAGTATGGAAGTTACAACTTTTAACTGACCTACTACAATGTAAGATTGCTTTGGTAGTATTCCAGAACGATGGTCCATGGCCCCTTTCACAGTCATTTCTAGAAATGCTAATGTGTCAGTGACAGAACAGTTAAAATGACACAAATCTCTTTTCCTAATTCAACTTCAAAGAATCTAGACCAGACAGAAACTTCAGGTACTTTCCAGCCCTACAACATTCTGTAAAGAAACATCTAAGAGAGGGTGAGGCAATGGCATTGACCCAGGGTGGGAAGCTGATGTAACGCTCACTGCCCACCAGCCACCAATTAGAAAACCTGCAGATGACCCACACCACAAGAAAAGGCCCGGACAAACATGGCATCTCTAGAATGGATGAGTTCCAATGCTATAACACCGTACTACAGGACTCTCCGGTACACAAAAGACTACGATTTTTCTCTTGAACAGCTAAGTTGCTGTTCTTAAAATGGAATTTGACTTGAAAGCACAAATTTCTACACTTGCAAGAAATACATCTTTGTCTCTGGTGGACTACTCACAAATATGCTTTCCAGCCCAAATATGTGGACTTTTACCGTTACCATAGGTCCACAGTACAAACAGAAAGTCCTGTAGGCTGACGAGGAGATTCCCAATATCAGTCGTCTAGCCTAGCATTACGTTTTCTACCATTCTGTCACGCATGTTTCCCTAGAAAACCTATGTTCAGAACTGTAACTTGGTGCTACACACAAAACAATAAAAAGGTATTATCGGTGCGTTTATTTGGGAACGACCAGTGTCAATGATGATAACAGCAAAGATGATGAGCTACACCCCCACTCTGCAAAAGAGTACAGCGTGTGGCTCACGTAATCCCCACGGTAACCCCCGGAGGAAGGCGCCGCTCCCATCTCCGTCCAGCCATTAAGGAACAGCTGCACTGAACTTACTGCACACCACCCCAGAGGCACACCGGACAGAGGGGGGCAGACAGAGTGCTTTAGAAACTAAGACGACAGCTGCAACGGCTTTTTAAAACTTCATCTTGAAGATGGTTTTGCATTTCCTTCACCTCTGAAACAATGAGTTCACACCAACAGTACACAGCTTTATTACATAAATATGAACAGGGCCATGAAGCTGGACCTTTTATGAGCTGAAAGCGTGGTCAATATTTGAGTCGCTGGGTTAGAATGAAGTTTCCATGTCCTTTGGCTCTAGGTAAGCACCAAACTCCAGATTACTGGTTAAGGTCTGCTTTTGAATGAGAGCGTGCTGAAAGAATGGGGCGTGTCCAGCGTGGGCGGCCTGGGAAAAGGAGACGCAGCTGTCGAGGGAGACAGGCAGCATGGAAGGCAGGCCATGGGCAAGGAGAGAGATGGGAGAGAGACAGAGAGATTATTCTACTAATCCAGGCCAGTGAGCACCCCTGCAGACTCAAACACAGGATGCAGAACTCTGCTACGCTTGCTGATGTCATTTTAACGCTCCAAGATGGGGCCTGGAAACAGCAGGATACACGTTGTCATTGACAAAACACAGAAAGTGTGTTCAACCGGAAACCACGAGGCCCTACACTAGCAGGATCCCAGGGTGGGCAAAGAGAATAAAAAGACTTAAAAGGTTGAAAAAGATGACCAGAGACGGCAAGAGGAGAAACGTAAGAGCCGCCACCTTACAAAGCGAGGAAGGAAATGTTTTCACAATTAGAATTTAACCACAGAGTGGCCCAAGGAAGAAGACCAAACCTGACCTGTTCGGTTTGGGACACTCCTATGCCGGCGAAAACATCAGACCATAATAGTTATAGAGACCACACCTCAAATAGTTTGGAAGTTAAAAAAAAAAAAAAAAAAGAACATACCCACAATCCCAGCACCTGGAAAGCTGAAGCAGGAGGATTGCCAGGAGTTCCAGGCCACCTGGGCTACAGTGAGACCCAGTCTCAGAAAAGCAAAAGCCAAAACACAAAAAGACACGGAGAAAGACAGGAGGGAAAGGAGAGAACAGAAAGAAACGAAATCAGACAACAATTAAGAGGAAGGAAAAAACAAACGTGAGGTATTGTTTCGGAGAGGGAAACCTAAGAGTTTCACAGACTTAGCCCATGTGATCTGTCACTAGCCATGCGTGTGATTAATTAGCACATGTGGAAGCCCTGGGTCCCTCCCCAGTAGCAGCTGTAGTGGCCGGGAAGGAATCTGACATCCTTAAACTTTGTGGCCTTCGAGTGGTGAAATAAATACAACAGGACAGCTCCAGAAGCATGCTTCACATAGTTCTCCTAGCCAGATCCCCAAGGGAGGCGCACCTCGATAATTGCTCCAGATGGTTGAGGCCATGCCCACACACCTGCACTCCGAGGCCTGCCTGACCCCAGTCCGGGGGCAGGAGTACACAGTCCTGCCCACGGTCTATGAACAAGAGAAGATCACAGACCAATACAGAGCCGCTCCCAAGCATAGCCCTGCCCCATCACACACTGACTCCAGCTGTTGACCTGAGATGGAAGACCGAACCAACTTCACCGGTTCTCACGGAACGTGCTGAAGCGAAGACTCCAGGAGTCAGCATCCACTGGTTAGTATGACAGTTTCCTGATGTAATGAAGGTCACGGTCAGCCCTGACAGACCCGAGTCATATAATAAACTACGTTGGCATTACAGACAAACCCATCTTCGGTCTATGTGGCAAATAACTGTTTTGTTTTGTGTTTTGTGTTTTTAAGTTATAAAGTCTTGCCACGTAGATGGGCTGGTGACCAAAGAAAAGGACACCATGTGAGAAAGTAGTCTCAAGCCGAAATAGCTCGGTTGGGAGAGCATTAGACTGAAAAAGCCGTCTAACCATAG